ACATCGGTTAGGATTCCTAGGAGCAACGCTAGCTTTTTCCTACATAAAAGTATGATCTGAACTAAGGAATCAGTTTAGTTTGTGGGTTGGAAGTATCACATATAAGCTTGGTCCATGTGAATTGGCACACTGTTTGGAACAAAATTAAACTTAGCAATACAGTTTGGTACTTAAAATACTCCATATAACAGAGGTACAGTTTAGTTTGATATAAGCGCAACTCATGTTCTTGCTTTTCTCGATAGCAGTAAAGCAGATAAAGTTGGGCTTTTTCTGTGTTGTTAAGACCCAGGTTGTGACTAGGGTATAAAAATCAAGAATTTCTTCCTTTGGTTTACTGAAAGCCTCCCGCTGCTCCTCCGTACAACACTCAATGTGCATGCTTTGCTTCAGTATACATGCAAATTGAATTGTTATATTGCACTATTTGGCCAATGTGCTACAAGATCTGGTGAATATAATTGGAGCATGGACAGTATGAACAAGGTAACATGTGCCCTGCCATACACCGATCTGTGAAGGATTTCTATGTATATGCATCTCCATTTTAGATCTGGCGGGGGCTTAGAAGCTGCGACTCACATATTCAACTTAAACTAGGCTTCTTTACAATACATGTGGCATGTAACTCACAAGATATTTTGTGTTTTGTGCCTGCAGATAGAATATGAGGGCAGGGAAAGTTATGCCATTTACAATTTGCGGTTATTTATTCTGATTTTGCAACAACCACCTTTTTTTCAGGAGAGAACAAGTTAATATATGAGTAGTAGTATTAGTTAGTACTTAGAGAAGTAACTAAAAAATGTGATGGAATTTAGAATTGAGTTATAGGAGATTTTTAATTTTACCCTCGTTTGTTAAGATAATAGCTTGCCTGACATATACTCCTTTAGGAAAACACCGTCATATATTTTGCCACTGAAACAAAGCAGATAACTCGCTTTAGTCTAATAATTAATCAAGATTCAAATTTGATCACGGTAGATTGTAGCTTAATTAAGAAGATGTCTGAGAAGTCATGTCAGGTTCTTTAGAAAAATTAAAGTTCACAACCTAATTCAGTGATTTGTACATGCTAACAGAGGTGCATACAAGCATGCTAACAGAGATTCATGCAGACATGCTAACATAGGAACATGTTTTATGATGAACACCAATCAATTTATAGGTGCATATTATCGGTGGAAAAAATTCCTTTATTGGAACACTATGAATTATTTCTTTGATACAATGCTCAAGGTTGGGTCTATATTTGTCAAATTGATGGTTATTGCATCCAGGTTGGGGAACAGTATATTTTATCATATTTCTTTAATCCTTTCAATGGTATATTCTGCCTTACTTCTAATAATGTTCATCTTTTTGTGTTACTCATATATTAGTTGTATTTCTCAAGCTTTACATATCCAGTAGTTCTTTCAACTTTGTAAGGGACTAGCATTGAAGTTTCTTCGGGTTTGTTCATATGTTCTCTTTAGGTCCACTTGTGAGCTCATGTTTCGGGATTACGTTCCTAAATCATGCCTTTTTGACCATTATGCAAAAAAGACGATTTTGGTTGGCACAATTTAGATGACGCCATGCCGCGGCATCAGGTGGTTGTTATGATAGATGGAGGTTGTAACAGGAAGACACGGTCTCCTCATTGCTGAGTGGCATCGTTTGGATGTTGCATTCCCCTAGGTTGAATTGTTGGGTAGAGCGGTAGGAGGGAGGGGTCACACGCTCATCGAGGCTGCCACACCCTTTGGGGGTGTTACAACAGGAGCCCGTTGCAACGCACGGGCATATGTACTAGTATTATATCATGAATCGAATGCTACTAATTTGACGACATAAATATTGGTGTATTATTGTATAAATACAGTCAAACATAAAAAAGTTTGATTTTCCAAAAAAGTTGGAAGTACATTTTTTGAAGGACGGAGGGAGTAGACTCCCCATGTATGTCTTATTTATCGACTAGGGATCACCATACAATTGCCATATAAGGGGGCCGGTGACGTAATAGAAGGGGTCCGCTTTTTATGCCATGAGTAGCCTATAGACCACACGGAAATTTTTGCAGATCACGTCGAGTTTTTCTAATTAACTCATCGAGCTAATGGAAAGCGCTCATCCTTTTATTGAGAAAAATTATTCCCTGATAATAGCATTAACTTTTTCATAGGTGTATACTTAGATAAGTACACATTAGCAGGTTTTTCAAGACTACTATAATGCTTCTAGGTGACAAGTTATTGAACTATACTTTAGCATTAGCACTGATACCCACAAATGTAGGAGCACTGGTGGAGCTTAGTGCAAGCAAAACTGGGCTGTGGCCCGCCCAGTTTGGCTGCAAACCAATGGGTCTTTAGGCAGAAATGGGCTATGGAGGAAAAAACGTTGGGCTTTCTTCAAGCTGGCCCGCCCAGTCATTTTGATGTAGCTCAGTAGGAGGTCAATTGTACATATTTTCTATAAGTAGAGTCGTTGATCCCAATGAGAAGTAAAAATAATTGATTCGTAGAAGTTAACTAGAAATTATTGCAAAAGATTAAAGTGTGGTGGTTGTGTGTTTGGACGGATTGAACAGTTACAAGTACTAAAAGAACAATGAAAGTAAAAGAACACAACAAGTGGTCCAATGCTTAATTCTGCTAAGGGCGACCTGTTTCTTATGTGGATTAAATCGTTTTCTCACAGATGGCATGAATATGAGCAAGTTGTTAAGGTCATAATACTTTTGTGTTGAGTCTTATTGCTTGAGTGTTGTCATGTGGACAGAGCCTAAGCTTATGTACCCCCTCAGTTGTTGAATACAAGGCCACTTCATTTTTCTTGTCAAATTTTGACTTATAATTTTGGTGAACAAATGTGGGTTATACTATGTCAAAAAAATGTCACTGGAAAGTTCTTTGAAATGTGCATATAACTCACATTTTGTTGGTAAAATTAATGATCAAAGTTAGATGAAAAAAAATTGAGGTGATCTTGTATATAAAAATGAAGGGAGTATTACAAAACCATTGACTCATATATACTTATGATTATACGGGACAAACCGCATGTTTGTCAATATGGTGCGATCTGCAAGAGTAGAATAACAAGGAATGATGCCATTCAAAGCCCTCCAGGTGAATACATGAGCCTTAGCATGTAAACCTTCATGGTGAAATACCTTGAATGCAAGATACACAAAAACAAAATAATTAACTTTTAGAATGAACAATACATGTGCTAAAAAGCCACATACTTGTTTTTTAAATTGTGGCCTTCATTTTAACGTATTTCAACATGAAAATTTATACACATGTACATTAATGTATTTCAAAACTGAAAAGTTTGTTTGGAATTTTCAAATTTGACCTCCATGGAGCTCGGCTTCCAATTGCTATTTTGCTGACCAGGGTGGAGTCATAATTTCCTTTCATGCGAAGGTGGAATCCACTGATCTGACCAAATATTAAGGACGCAAATATCCAGCGAACGTCAGACTTTTATGCATGGCAAACCAGGTGTTTTCATGGCACCCGAGGATTAAAAGTTTAGTTGACAAACATGACAAATTTGCGTCAGTTCATTTTTTTGCCATGAAGTTGTCGTGCTTGCAAACTAAATCCGCGATCCCCGTGCCAATATAAATTGCTAGAAAAACATTCGATTTCCCATGCCTGACAATCCAACTTCAGATTTTTAACATTTCTGAATACTAAATGGTTGCACCATTGCTAGGCCTCCAAACAATGCCATGTAGTGTAATATGTTTTCATTACTTATTTTCTACAACTAAAGACATTTTTTTTGAGAACACCTTCCAATCTATTCATCTTCAATCATGACAGTACAATCAACACTAGAAATAATAAAAAAATACATCCTGATCCGTAGACCAGCGAGTAACAACTACAAGCACTGAGGCGACCCGAAGGCGCCCCACTGTCATGGCCCCTCCTTCGTCAGAGTTGGTCAAAACTTGTTGCAGTAGATAGTCGGGAAGTCGTCGTGTTAAGATCTAGACGTGTAGATCGGAAGGATCCAACTTGAAGACACATGAACATAGACGAACAAAGACCGAATCTGAGCAAATCCACCAAAGGAAAACCACCGGCTGAATCTTACGAGATTCGTCGAACACACACCTCCACATGCTCTTCGACGATGCTAGAAGCACTGTCGAGACGAAGGCTAGATGAGAAGAATCTTATTCCATTTTTAGAAACTCACCGCCGTCTCGAAGGAGTAGACTCTTGTTTGTTGGCTGGGCTCTAGCATAGGACGAGCCAAGCCGGTGCAAGTGAAGACGTAGCTGAAGGCTTTTTGCTGAGTAGGTAGTTTGTGTGATATAGCAACATATGTATTTGTGGTTGAGAATAACGCTCTTACCCATGTGCGTGTACATATGACTTTTTTTTGAGAAATTTTCAATCTATTCATCTTTAGTCATAACAGTATAAAAAACACTAGAGGTAATAAAAATTTATAACCAGGTTTATGGACAATCTAGTGATGACTACAAGCATTAGAGCGAGCCGAAGGCATGCGCCGCCATCGCCCCTCCTTTACTGGAGCCGAGCAAACTTTATCAGAGTAGACAATCGAAATGTCGTCATGCTAAGACCCCATAGAATCAACGCATCAGAGCAGCAACCATGACAAATGCAAAAAAGTCATAGATCAGAAATATTAAAACATATGTGACTTACTAGCAAAGTTGTCAGTCCTCTGGATTCTCCTTTTCTTTTCTTTGCCCAATATAATGAATTTATTATAGTGCTAAACAAAAAATAGAAAATCATTTATTTTTTTAAACCACCCATATACATATGACACGACAGGATAAAATCCCCATACGACACGGCACGCTGGTCGCTTTTGTCAACAACCATTCAACAAGGCCATTTTCGGTAGTCACTCGCTCAATCAAAGCACAACACACGATCACTTCGACACACTCAGACCAGGAGCTAGGCATGGCATGGATGGTGACTCACTGACAGTAACTTGGCAATCCATCAACGAGTGTCCGTACTGCGCGACGACGAGAGCCACGCGACGGCATCGGCGAAGCACCTCCGGAACGTCGCCATGCCTGCCGGCGGCAGCGACATGCCCACCTCCATGCCTCCTCCGCGACTCTCCGCCACCGCCATGGCACCGGTCCTCGCCACGGACACGATCTCCACCTTCGCCGGGGGGCCGAACCCGAAGTCGACGTCGTACACACGGAGCCTTGGCGACCCGGCCACGGACAGCACGCCGCGCGCCCCCGCCTCCTTGACGCGCTCCACCATCGTCTCCCACTCTGGAGACGCCACCGCCTTCTCGATGCCCGCCGCTATCGCCGCGCACGCCGTGAAGAGCCCATCGGCGCCGGCCGAGGCGAGCTCCCCCTTGGCCGCTGCGCCGATGGCCGGGCCGATGCAGTTGCCCAGGTACGTCGCCGGCACAGGCGGCTTCATCAACTGCCGGTAGTCCACGGGGACGATGAAGTATGTTGGTGATTCGGGATCCGCAGCGCCGTCACCGGTCTCTGCTTTGGCTCGGCGGTAGCACGACCAGACGAAGCCTAAGGCGGCGACGAGCGTCGAGCACCTTGGCGGCGTCTGGCCACGCCGCGCGGCCTCGCTGGCCACGGCGTCCTTGACGCCCTGCAGGTGCTCCCTGGACAGAGTGAACGTGGCGAGGAGCTGGTCCGGCGACATCTTGACGAACTCGATCTCGTCGGCGCTCATCAGGTTGTTCGTGTAGTGTTCGTAGAGGCCTGCCGGTTCAGTGATGAGCGTCCGGTCGATGACAGGAGCCAGCGGGAGCGGCCTGTCCGGTCCGGCGCAGGAGGCCGCCCAGGTGTGGAGGAAGCTGGTGGAGCCCGCGCCGTCGCAGGCGGCGTGGTTCACGGTCACGCCGAGCGCGAGGTCACCCCGCGGCAGCAGCACGGTGGCCTGCACGGAGAGAAGCGCAGCGCCTCCGTCGGCGTCGGCGTGCCGTAGGCGCGGAACGAGCTGGACGAGCTCAGCGACCTGCCTGGGGTGATGGTCGGATGCGAGGTCGCTGAGGTCGGCGTCGTACTCGGCGACTGTGAAGGTGACGCCGTCCCCGGGCTCGTAGAAGATGTCGGGGCGGCCGTTGGCGGTGGTGGCGCGGAGGCGGCCGGCAAGCGGGAAGAAAGCGCGGAGGGCCGTGGAGAGCGAGGCCTTGAGGCTGGAGACGACGAGGTCGGCATGGGCGGCGCCGATGTGGTAGAAGAAGATGCGCTCGACGGGCGGGGAATGGATCCACTGCAGGTCCAGGAAGGTGAGCGGGAGGGAGGACGGCGGCAGCGGCGGGCCGGACGGTGTGACGACGGCGGTGTCGACGACGCGGAGGCGGGAGGAGGACGAGTCACGTGCCATTGCTGGGCAATCGATGGAGGAGCCGACTCTCTTGGAAGAAGATGGATAGTTGGAAGGAAATGGGAATGGAAATCCAATCGTTCAGCTTTGCGTTTCTGGAGAAGAACAACGGGATGGATGTGTGACATGACATGTGCGGGTTCCGTCCCTTCCCGTCCTAGGTTTACTACTGTACGTATCAATACCAGCCACCCGTTGCAACCTCACATCTCTCATTTTTCCCAGTTAATTCTCTCATTAAAGGCTTTGTTCGGTTGTTGGGGTTCCCTTCCCCACGGCCACGGAGGAACCAACCCCCTACAGATCGGGAGGGATCTGGCGCCTGCTCCTCTCTATGCTTTCATCCATGCTTTCACTTTATTCTACAACTGTTTTCTTTTTTACCTTTTCGTTTTCAATCTAATCATCTTCCCTCTAATTTTGAGAGGATGAGACCGGACCTTATTTTATTCCAATTAAATTAAGCTACGTACACGGGAGCACGAAGGGGCGCACGCGCGGAGAGCAGGCAAGTTTGAGTGAATCCCCTCATGTCACCCTGCAAACCTCTTTTTACCGGTGGAGAGAGGTACTGGTCGAGCATCCACCGTTGGTGTAGTTTAAGATTCGTGTTGTTTGGTGGCTCACATCATTGTATCTATGCGTATTTCAACTTTTCATGTCCGTATCCACCATTAGGTCAAATCATGCGTAGGCCCCACCCATGCATGCATGCAAAAGACATCCACTCTGTGCTGCAAATGCATGAGAGCGACCCATCTGTCTAATCTCCCATCCTGTAAATTTCATGGCTTTTATTTTCTCTTTGACATTTCCAATCGTATATATCTTTTAAACAGTGATTTCGTTTTTGAAATATTTTACATATTTGAACTCGTGACACTAATATCTTTAGAACAAGATCAATATTGGACAGATTTCAAACACATTTAAATTTTACGTCTAATTTCCCGCATATACCGGGCGAAATCTGTTATTGGCAATGAGTGAAAATATGTGAAATGTGTTCTTTCAAACATGTGAATTTGATTGTTTCAATGCGTGAAATTGAATATTTCAAATATATGAAATGATATTATTTTTAACTTATGAAACATATTTCAAACTTATTTGAATTTCAGGGAAATCATTTTTTGGAACATAGTGAAATTGGATATTTTTTGTGTTATTATAACGTAACTTTTCATTGAAATTAGTGAAATATGTTTTTGAAATGAGTGAAATCATTTGAAATAAGTAAATTTGGTTGTTTTGAATGAGTGAAATATGGTTAAAATTTGAGTGAAATATGTTTTTTCAAATGAGTGAAATTCGTTTTCTAAAATAAGTGGAACTGAGTGTGAAAATACGTTATTGCGGTATGCGAAAAGATGCCAAATTGTTGTTTACAAAATGTGAAACTTACATTTGTCGACATGTGAAAGTTATTTCATTGAACTTATTAAATTTTTAGGGAAATCATTTTCTGGAACTGAGTGAAATTGGATTTTGAATGTAACGGAAATGTGAAATCAGTTTTTTCAAAAATGAGTGAAATATATTATTTCAATTGAGTGAGTGTAATGGGTTTTGAAAAATGTGTGAAACCTATCTTTTGTAAATAATGTAAGTGAAATCGTTTATTGAAATGAGTGAAATATATATTTTCAAATTGAGTGAAATCAGTTCTCTTGTTCAACATATGTGAAATAGTTTTTTTAGTTGAGTGAAATATGTTATTTGGAATCTGTGAAATAAAATTAGTCGAAATGTATCCAATTTTGATCTTAGCTTAAAGGTCTTGCCTCGAGCAATTCAAATATATAAAAATATCAGCAATTAAATTTATTGTTCAAAATATAGCAATCTCCAAAATTTTGGCTATCAAATTTAATACTAGTCTTTCCTTGGGAGAGAGACTTGTGAATGTTCAATCGTCGTACTACTACCCTCATGTAGATTCCTGACAAAAGCTGCATGGCATGCATTGATACGTCTCCAATGTATTTATAATTTTTTATTGCTCCATGGTATTATATTATCTATTTTGGATGTTAATGGGCTTTATTTTACACTTTTATATCATTTTTTGGATTAACCTACTAACCGGAGGCCCAACCCAAATTGTTGTTTTTTTTCCTATTTTAGGGTTTCGCAAAAAAGAAATATCAAACGGAGTCCAAACAGAATGAAACCTTCGGGAACGTGATTTTCTCAACAAACGTGATCCAGGAGACTTGGAGTGGGCGTCAAAAAACGATCGAGGAGGGCACGAGGCAGGGGGCCTACCCCCCTGGGCGCGCCCTCCACCCTCGTGGGCCCCTTGTTGCTTCACCGGCGTACTTCTTCCTCCTATATATATCCACGTACCCCCAAACATCCAGGAGCACCACGAAAACATAATTCCACCGCCGCAACCTTCTGTACCCGAGAGATCCCATCTTGGGGCATTTTCCGGAGCTCCGCCGAAGGGGGCATCGATCACGGAGGGCCTCTACATCAACTCCATGGCCTCTCCGGTGATGTGTGAGTAGTTTACTTCAGACCTACGGGTCCATAGTTATTAGCTAGATGGCTTCTTCTCTCTCTTTGGATCTCAGTACAAAGTTCTCCTCGATCTTCTTGGAGATCTATCCGATGTAATCTTCTTTTGCGGTGTGTTTGTCGATATCCGATGAATTGTGGATTTATGATCAAATTTATCTATGAGCAATATTTGAATCTCCTCTGAATTCTTTTATGTATGATTGGTTTATCTTTGCAAGTCTCTTCTAATTATTAGTTTGGTTTGGCCTACTAGATTGATCTTTCTTGCAATGGGAGACGTGCTTAGCTTTGGGTTCAATCTTGCGGTGCTCGATCCCAGTGACAGAAAGAGAAACGACACGTATTGTATTGTTGCCATCGAGGATAAAAAGATGAGGTTTATATCATATTGCATGAGTTTATCCCTCTACATCATGTCATCTTACTTAAAGCATTACTCTGTTCTTATGAACATAATACTCTAGATGCATGCTGGATAGCGGTTGATGTGTGGAGTTATAGTAGTAGATGCAGAATCGTTTCGGTCTACTTATCGCGGACGTGATGCCTATATACATGATTATACCTAGATATTCTCATAATTATTCGCTTTTCTATCATTTGCTCGACAGTAATTCGTTTACCCACAGTAATACTTATGCTTTTGAGAGAAGCCACTAGTGAAACCTATGGCCCTCGGGTCTATCTTCCATCATATTAATCTTCCAACACTTAGTTATTTCTATTGCCGTTTATTTTACTTTGCATCTTTATTTCTCTTTATCATAAAAATATCAAAAATATTATCTTATCATATCTATCAGATCTCACTCTCGTAAGTAACCGTGAAGGGATTGACAACCCCTTTATCACGTTGGTTGCAAGGTTTTTTTTGTTTGTGTAGGTGCGTGGGACTCGAGTGTGATCTCCTACTGGATTGATACCTTGGTTCTAAAAAACTAAGGGAAATACTTACGCTACTTTACTGCATCACCTTTTTCTCTTCAAGAGAAAGTCAACGCAGTGCTCAAGAGGTAGCATGCATAAGGGTCCACAGCAGGTTTGTATTCTTACGTATTGAAGTGTGAAAAAGATTGGCTTACTTATACATGCGGCTTCCTTTGGTTTGTAGGATTTTTGTAGGAATTCTATAGGATAGGATTTGCAAAGGAAAAATTCCTTTGAAGCCCTTTGATTTGTAGGAATGGATTCCTATTCCTATGTAGGATAGCAATCAATCCTTCACATTTTGGAGGAAAAAAATATTAGCCTAGACTCAATGGAAAAAATCCTATCCTATGAACCAAATGGCATCTCATTCTCTATAGGAATTGACATGCATGTCATCTCACTTCCTATGATTTTCCTATTCCTATAAAATCCCTATCCTATGAACCAAGAAGGCCGAACAGTGGCCATGAATGCCAAAGCAATCATGTGTGATGTATTCTTTGCCGGTAGCTCCCCGCTCCGGTAAAAAAAACATAGTCGCATGTCACCCACCCCCGCCAACACCCTTCTCATAAACCTCTTCATCTTAAATTCTGTTCGGTCGGAGCATCCACAGCTGCATATGACAAATATGACTCCTCAAACGTCCGCGGGACCCGTCAGGGCGCATTTGCGGGCAGTGATCAGACACTCCTCAAATTATCATAACCACATCTGAACGCCTCATTCTAGATTCTTAAATCCATACAAAGCATGCAAAGGAAAAAACATACGTTCTACGTAGATCACCTAGCTACTCCTTGTCAGAGATGTCGACTATCTCCGTGTCCGGCTCCTGATACATGGGCGGCAGCTGTAGTTCTGGCTCCTTCGGCTGCTACGCTCTGGCCTCCTCCTCTATCTCCGCGTCGAGTTTGGCCAAGAGCGCATCCGTCGCCGCCCGCTCCTACCGGAGAACTCCTGGTTGACCTCCACATAAGCCTCATTATGGATGGACTTCGGGATGGTCTGCTGCTCCGCCATCTCCGCAGCTTGGGCGACAGTGAACTCCGCATCCGCCTCCTCCATGCTAAACCCCGGAGCATGCTACTTCGCCCCGTCCTCCTCCGGATCCGTCACCTCCATCGGCTCCGGCAACTGCTCTCCCTCCTCCTCCTCCTCCTTCTTCTCCGCCTCCGGCTCCGGCAAGTCAAGAGGCAGCCCGACGGCGATGCAAAAACATAGGCTGAATTTAGGGTTCATCAATCAGACCAGATTCGACTTATCAAGGAAAGAGTCGTGGCTGAATTATTTACCTACACACTTGCTAGCAGCTACCACAACGACGCCAAACGAGTCATGGCTCTTGCAATCGCTCATGGCTTCATCCGACGTTACGTCAAAGACGACCACGCGATGTCAATTTAGAGCACAACGCCTCAGTGACTATGCTATCGGCGTCCAAAAGTGGTTTCTAGCCAAACATTTGCCAGGCCGGACGGAACGCGTGCCTGTTCACTACTGGTGATGCTGGCCATGAATTCCTCCACAAACATGACCACTAT